GTGGCACTTCCCACGAGCTAAATTATTAAGGTTTATGTACTATACCCCTGTCTATTAATGAACTTAACTAGTAATTGTGCAAATGCAAAGCAACAATTGACCAAGTTGTTACTGATCTGAAGCGTTTCCCTTCAGGTTGGATGGTTTTAAGTAACAAGAATTAATTTGAGAGGTCAGCACATTTCATTAATAAATGTTAAATTATTTATTAAAGAAAACATGAATAAAAACCCGAATTCAGAAACTACATTTACAACAGAGCAAAGCTACATAAACTGCGAGATTAGCTTATATTATTGACTTACATTAATATGGAGTCATGATAATCTCGTGTACTCAGAATCGTTAAAACCACAACATTCTGAATCGAATGTACCTCCACAATTTCTTTAAAGAGTTGTTGTCCAGTGAAGACAGTTCTGCTTTAATTAAATATATAATCAGTAATAAATATATTCTTACTGATTATGTATTGAATCTTTATTTTCTAACTATATAATTAAGTAGAGATTGAGGCTCCATCGTTCGTAATGCATCGCATGTAAAGAATACCAAGAAGAACTGATAGCATCCGTAGTCCCGTACACTGACGTTACAAACGAATAAGCTATGTCAATCTATTGCGTGCTCATAAAATCAAGCCAAGCTCTATACAGCACGTTCTTCATACAAACGGTAAAAAAGCGGTACCTACCACTTCACATTGAAACACTTTATCCGTCCATTATTTATGATCATACGCTCCGTAGGTACGTAATAATCCCTATATAAGGTCAGCTATACCTGCCGGGTGTAAATGGCGCGCTTCGAACATTTATTAAAAGTTACAGGGGTTGCGGGGTAGCCGCATGAGCCCTAATTAAGCCTCTTTTTACAAAAGGGCCGATGCGTCGGAGGGACTCGAGTTTTTACCCTTCCGACTCCTTAATGAGCTGTTGCCGTCGGCCCATAGTGAGGGTTTAACGGGACAAGAGCTTTGTACCCTGGGTGTCAAACGCTCCGTAACGCCGCCTGGTACATAGAGAGTGGTACGCAAATGGAGGCGAACGATTTTTGTTTTCCGATTTCTCATTCTCCTTCGGCCCTCGATTCTGCAGTCTTTAATGTTGTCTTTATAGATGTAAGCGGATTTCCTTGTCTTTCGGTTGTCCGTTGAATGTTTTTCGTTTCCCACACGGTAAACCATCAAATGTTGGGTACTGGTTGTTGCTGGCATCTCTTAAGCTGTATAGTACATGGTCGCTCATCCGTTCGCAACATGATAAGACTCTGTGGATGTTCCACATAGTTTCGTAGCTAAGCGGTACTTCAACGAGTTAGCGGTTCACCTGATGTTAAGTGATAGCCGCCACCCAACATCCCGCCACCCATCTGCAACACCCGTAGGGTTGCAAATGCGTTGCCGCCTTTAAGTAATGTGGGCCCCGGCTACCTCACTCACCAGACGAAACGCAGAAGTATAATACTTCCTCTTTACGCCGGTCTTCTGTGAGATCGTGGTACGAACCTGCTCATTCGTGCAACAGCCGAAGCTGTTGCGTGGCCCTACCACAGTTAATAGTACACATTATTATTACAAATACACACAATCTTTGAGCATATCCATATTTATGTGAGAAGCTGGCAAGGGAGCTGTCGATTCACCCGATGATTAAACGATAACCGATGCCCATGGACATTTGCAACCCCCATAGGGTTGCAGATATGCGGACACCTTTCAAAAAATGGGCCCCGATTACTTTACTCACCAGATGAAATGCAGAAGTATAACACGTCCACTTCACGCCAGTCTTCTGGAAGTTCGAGGTCCCCGAATGGACCTGCCTATTCGCGACAACGAATATTGTGACGTGGCCCCACCTTATTAAATCTATTACGGTCTCACGCCCGTAGATATGTACATATTCGTAGTTAACTGTATTATTGTGTAGAAATTATGTACTACAAGTACACTATTAAAAATGTCAATATAACCTTTTGATAGTGGGTGAGCGCGGTCTGCTCTAATATTTACGGAACTACGAGGAGTCAAAGTAACAAAAGAGAAAAGAGAATATAACCAAAAATTTATTATTTCTAAAACAAATTTAAAAAGCGCATGTTTTCTGCTTTCGTATCTATAGTATATAATTAAGAAGTATTTATCTCATCAACTTTGATGAGATAAAATTAGACATAACAAACAACCATTTTAATTAAATTTATGTTAGGATTTTTTGGATTGGACGCGGTTCATTTTAGATTTCATCTCCCGACCTTTCGAATACTTTGCAGCATTCATGGTCACGGAGTGGAATATTAAAATGCCTGGTATTTGCTTAGGTTAATGTAATGATTACACAATAGATCATACAATTCTAAGGCTTAAATCAATCAAATCATAAAATAAAATCGCTACAAAGTAAAAGCTTGTACAATGAATATTTGAAAAAAAAACTAACCGCGACGCGCATTAAGAAATATACAGATGCTGAAAAAATAGCGTAGTGTTACAGCAACTGCATTATGGATTTTCACTTCAACGAATAGGGTGACATTTCCAAAGCTCAGTTATTAAAGGCTAACGTACGATCTTAACGCAAACAATTTACCCTTTCCGTAAAGTTGGCGCGCCAATTGAAGGCGGTGTCCGAACGGGTTTAGGGGCGAGGGGGTGGGTATCAACGTCTTGCCCCCACCTTTGGCCTGAATGTGGCCAAATTGGACGAGCGGAAACTACACGCCGCCCGCGACTTGACCGGAAGTGCTCGCCTCCGCCCGAGCTTTCCCGCCTTACGAACTGTTTCCATTCAACTTTACTTCTTAAACTTTTATATCATAAAAATATTGTAGAAACTGTTGTAAAATTTTTTTTTTTCGCCACCGCTAGGAATCGAACCTGAAATATTTTTTTTATACCAGATTCGAAAACAATGTAGTGAGACCTGTTTTTGAATAAATAATAACAATTTGAAATAAGATTACAAAGGCAATTAGATTTTTTAATAGCATTTTGCATTCGCAAATATTTATCAAATGAATTTGTCGAAAAACGGTCATAATGGAACTTAAAATAAATAAATGGTACTAAATGAAACTAGTTATCGTGATAAAATCCGTAAGCTAGTTTCATTTAATGTGTTTAATATTCGGGTAAAATCAAGAAGTCAATTAAATGGTAAATAAAATACTTGTTATGAGTAATAACAACTAATTTAACATACGTATGATTTTAAAAGGAGAAAAACCTTCTTTTCGACAGAATTATTAGTTACGTTATTCGTATCGAGTAATGGAAACGCGCACTCACCCCCACTGGGCGGCGTTACCGAGTTAAGTAGCCGAGTTTACCGCGCCTTGGCGACAAGCAAGTTTATTGAGGTAGGCCCGCGCTCGTGAATATCCGCCGTAATACTGATTTGAGCACATTTTTGGCGACAATTCAAACATTCGTCTCACATTCGGATTCTTGATTGGATCGTTTATTTGAAATGTCGAAAACATTTTATTAGCGAATAAAGATAAGAAAAAGCATTGATTACGAAAGAATTTAACATTTATGCGATATTGCATAGCGTTTATGGGCTCTATATATTTTAAGCCAAATTCATGTCCGGTACAGATAGATAACTCCCGTATTATCGCGTCTAAGGTTTTACGAACCAATAAATCTCGCTCCAACTCCCGAATGACGTTTCTAGACTAGGCCCATAGCGTTTGAATCGTAACCGATACACAAAGATCGCTCGCTAAGCCGAGTCGGGGAGTGCAATGAATAAAGGGCCGTCAAATCCTTATATCCATTGCTCTGCGCACGATCCGAGCAGATGCATGGCCTAGCGACGCTCCAAATGGACGCCACTCCATTGTGCCCTGACCATATCTCTGGCCGTTGGCCGGACTCAAGCAACTCCAGTGTTACAGTTGTCGTATTGTTTATCCCCTCCCATTTCTCGAACTACGTCGACCTACTGTGTTTTATTACAGAGTTATCCTTTGATTGACATAATGATACATTTTGTTTATTTTGTGCTTTTATCTGGCATATTTAACGTCCGCGTTTACGTTTCAAGCGCGTTGCATGAGCAGTTAGTTCTTTTATACGATTTGAAATATTATACTTATGAAAGACTGTTATATAAAGCTTGCGTAAGGCCAATCATGTCCTACGCTTGCATGATCTTCGCACATATAAATCCTACGCGCATTAACAAATTGCAAGTAGTTCAAAGTAAGTTTATCCGCCGCGCAACCGGTGCGCAATGGTATCAGCGCAACGTCGACCTGCACAGCGATTGCAGACTCCCGACGATTCGCGCTCATTTTAAAGATTTGACAAAACGGTTCTTCGATAGAGCCCAGCATCATCCCAACCCTCTGGTGGTAAGCGCAGCAAACTACCAACCGGACACAAACGCGAACGTAAACAAGCGTCGCCCGCGAAACGTCCTCATCGACCCGGTCGACGAAGAGGACTTAGATACGATGGACCCACCGCCGGGGGTCCCGCCGGATAACACTACACCCACAGTTAGTGTAACAACAATCACACCAGTTCGCCCTCGCCTCCGAGCACGGCGAGACCCACACAACGCGTACACAAGGTACACCCGCGTTCCGGGGCGGTTCTCACCGCTCCCAGCCACCGATTAGCTAAATGCACAGTCGACGGCCGTCGGGGTCTCGGTCCGAACCGGCAACCTCGACGGCCCTTAGATGACACACCATAGTAGTACCACCTTAGTGACGCACGCATGAGCACATGCGCGACCCTACCCATAGCGGAGGGTCCAAACCCGTGGGTTCTGGCTAGCCCACCGGTTCTGCGTCCGATGAAGCTTTAATAGTCTCGGGACTGAAAGCAAAAACATCAGTTAATACAAGATACAAGATACTTATGAAAGAAAGCAATAAAATATTTACAATTTCTAAACGAAGAAAGATGAAGTAGGTTATACTATACAATCGTTATAAATCATTAACGTGTATACCAATCAAATAGTATCACTTAAAAACGATACATGCTGCATTCACGTAACATAACAGTTAGACTTTCCAATCACGAGCACTTCGACCTGTACCTCGACGTAAAAATACTGGACGGTTGCATAACGTCTACCGATGCCTCGCAATCGTGTCCAGCGCCGTCGATCAACACAAAGCGTACTCATCAAACGTCCATCTCCGCTTCGCCTTCGCTGCGCCTTTTTGCCGAGCGACGCCGTGCGCAAAAGGACAGAGACTGCGCGCTGACCGGATCATTAAATAGATTGATGGCACCTGAGCGCACACACACATACCTGGGCGCAAGGCTCGGGCGATAAATAGTGGCGATTCGGATAATCCCGCCGGCGGGCGGCCGGCTCCCGATGGGCGGCATCCATTCTCTTTATTGCACCGTGCTTTATAGCGGGCGAGGCGTCCGCCTTGATGCCTACGACGTAGCGCCTAACATATTGGCCGCGTCACTTGACACACGCTCAGTACAGTCTAGTGCGAGACTGGTCGCACCGGCCGTGGCGATTGTTCTGTGCTCTTTTTATGATGTCCGACGTTCAATTTTTCGGATTGTTCAATGGTTATTCAAAGAGAACTCTTCGAGACAAGAGTTTTTCGCTGATAAACAAAATACATTTGTAAATGATGTAGGTAGATGTTGTACATCATATAATTTTGGATGACAATAAAATTATTTTGATTTAGATTATATAGACGAAAGCGAAGACATAGATAGTTTTAAAATATGTTTTAATTTCGATTATAAAACGAAAATATTTTTGAATTCGTACATAAAATACCGCAACTACTTGTCTGTATAGCCCAATATTTTACACCTATAAAAAAGAATGTATCCAAGTGCAATTTCATTTTCCCTATCAGTTTTATAAATAACTTTAAGTTTTATAAACAGCTTTTATAAATATAAATAAATAAATACGGTAATAAGGAATACGAATAATTTTCTCTATAAAAGACGTATTTGTTAGCTTATTGATAAAAATAAATATTTACACGAAATAAATTTCGTGTATTAAAGAGTATTTCGTCCAAGAAATATGCAACGATTTTGCAAACCATATAAAATTCTTAATAATGAATATTATAATTGCAAATGATGTAGAAAATGACAATTATAACAATTTTATAAATGCTTAAAAGATATGTAGTAAATATACTATGTTACGATATTATAAAATAACAAAAACTTATAAATTACAGTTTAGAAGAGAGCTTTTGAGTTTGTTTTTGGTTATACACATAGAAATAAAACTCATTCCTAAAACTTTTGGACATCCCTTACGACTTGGGCGTCAGCATTTTATTTACCACTGTACTGTGTTCCTTAAACGAATAATAATATTAAAGGTATAAGTTTTTAAATTAGTGTTCTCCAATAATTGTCCAAATATTTAAAAATAAAAACTAAAAAAATATTTAAACAAAAATAATATTTAAAAATTTAAAAAAAAAAAGAAATATTTAAAAAATACTTTTATTAATATTAACTAAAGATCCATATTTAATAAAAATCGATATTAGTGTGCAATGAGTCATGGATGTAGGTGGCTCAAGATCGTGCTTTATGACAGGCTGAGGGGGAGGCATATGTTCAGCAGACTAGCTGGAATGATGATGATGATGATTAATTGCTACATTATAAACTGTGTATAATTGATACGAAGACACTTAATTTGCTAAAGGATACTTAATAATTTTATACATTTATTTTTATAGTTAGAGCATAACTTAGTATGTTTGAGCTCATTGTTTGACAGTTGCTTATTTATTAAGGATGTCATTTAAAATTTTCAACGACGTGCTAATTGGTTTGGATTACATTTATGTTAGTAAAGGCGCTCTATTTTAGTTGGGATGTATACGCTGCATGCTTCTCAACAGTTGTTTATACTTAACCAGATAAAATGACTATAATAAATACATATTCAAGCCAATACAAAATAAAAGTATGTGTCGATAATCTTATAAAGTTTTATCGTTAAAAAATGACATCTATCGCATGCGAACAATTAATCACCATTCCGAACGTTGCCAATACCCTTAGGTTATATAAAACAACACAGTCAAAGTTTATAATCAATTAAGGCCGTCGGGCTGACGGAAACTTTATCTATTTTACGGTTTTCGGCAAAAAGGTGGCGTCGGCCAAAACAATGGCAAATTAGCGATGACGGTTAAAAATGACATCGGAATTGGCCGGGCCGTAATAAATGTACCGGGCAGGGTCGGGCGACGCGTCGGCGGCCGCGCTGTATTAATACCGCACTAAAATATACTGCCACTTGCATATATTTGCTTTGTTCTGCTATACATGAGGTCGTATGGACCGTTCAGAATCCGACATTCAGAAATTGAGTTTTTTTCGTTTGAGCTCGATCGAAAATACCATATTGTATAATAAAAAACTTTTGAACGACTTGAAGTTCAATTTTTAATTTTATTGCCAGTCCCTGCACTAAAGATGAAACTTGAAAATGTATAGAAATTGTCGCAATTTTTTTATATGCCACAAAGTTTATCGGTAGTCATCAGAAAATTTCGACGTCGTATGTACTTAGTTTTTTATTGCAATGCCTGGCGTTTTCTAATGTAATAATTCCTTTACAGCGAACACACTTTATCGAATGAAATTTGAACAATTAATATTTGAAACTATCGCCTTTGCTGTTGAAATTTAATTTTTGGTGTTAATCTCCGCACTTAAGACGAAAATTAAAAATGTGTTGATAAAACTGTCGCAATTTTTTTCTATCTCTGAGAAATTTTACTGTTGAATTTAAAAATAGGGACAAACTTTTGCTCTTCGAACTAATGCTGAAGACCAATAACATGTGTGTGTACGATGAACAACCACTATGAATATGCTAATCACTATTAACGGTCTTTATTCGTCCTTAAAGAGGAGAGGTTGAGAACCCATCACCTGATATGCATGCTAGTCATGCATCATAAGACACGAACAACCGGGCGGTGGATGCAAATGGCAAAGTGTCGTTCGTTGCGGCGTTCTTAGGAGGAGGCCTATGTTCAACAGTGGTCGTCTTGTGGCTGATGAGGCGAAAATGCAAAAGCCATCACTGGACGCCATCTACTGAATTGATCCAACTACTTCAGACTGCGCGTCCACTTTAAAGCAACAATACCGCTTTTGCCTTTTAAACAAGCATTGATACCGAAAAATCCAAATCAAAGTTACTTTTATCTAGATTTTACCAACAAGGCGGACAAGATCAAATCGTCATTTCCACTGCCAATGATTTGATTTTATTTAAAACCTAATATCTCATAATACAATATCTGATAATAGTAAACCTGCACGGCGTCACACTAACTACTAAATACTAATTATACTACTATTATTAAGGGCTTATTTAGTAACGTATGATGTGGGACCTTATTTATATGATATGACGGCAAGTGAGCTGGCAGTTAAGTAATTATATCTGTGAGTTTCCAGTATTTAACCTTTAAAACGCCATGGCCATGGTTACTTCACTCACCAGACGATACGCATTATATAATACTTCCACTTTACGTTGGTTCTAAGTGAGACCATGATACTTCCTCAAACATTCTGCCTATTTGCGCATAAGCAGAAGCTGCCTTCCAGAGCTAACAGCTACAGTAAAAACCTCAAGTAAGACATAGGACCTTTGTCCGGACCTTGACCTTGTCTGTCCCAACAAAGTCAATCTTTGAGTGGTTCATCATCATCATCATCATTTTAGCCTGTTTGAGTCCACTGCTGAACATAGGCCTCCCCCATAGACTGCCCATAGATTGAGTGGTTGTTGCCCACCAAACTTATTCTCTCCTCGAGTGAAAATAATAAAATAATAACTCTAAATAATTGTGATGTGTTATTTGCAATTACCTTATTGTTAATATTTGTGTGTATCAGGATTCACGGTCATGATTGTAATTTTGTCAATAATGTTTATTATTAATATAAAAATAAATAAATACGGGTATTCACTTCAGTTGCTTCAAACCACACATTCCGCACGCAAGTAAAATAGCTACAGCAGTGTACTTTTTGGTACGCAAAATTTTGTAACGATAACTTGATGTTGTCTTGTAAATAGACAAAATCATCTAATTGCAATACAAACCAACGAACACATTATATGGTCTTTCATTGTTTTAAACATCAACGGAGTTAAAGATTTACGTGCTCTTTAGCAAAGACACTGTTTAAACCTGAAATGCATGGGCTACTTTGTATGCTGGAATCATTCAGGATTCCTGTGTTATATATGTGTAGCATATCATTAGAATTTATTTAAAATTTACTTCCTATCTTTGATTTAATTTTCATGTAAGCAAAACCGTGAGCAACAACTGCAACTCAGTATATTTAGAACAACTAGGAATAATATCTGAAAGTAAACGAATTCTTTACAAAAACAAAAAGTTTAAAGTTTTTATCCAGTGTATGCTACACAATTTCACAGAATTATTTTATGAAAAGAAATTTTATGATCACCGCAAATAATATCAATCAATATTCAATCATGGAAAATATAACAATTATTATTTCACATTAAACGATCATTAAAGTGTAAGTAAGTATTGTCGATTACTAAAATCGCCATCCATACCAAAACGGATATATAATTTACCATTACGTAATTAATAGAAGCTCTAAGGAAAAAAATAAAATAAACACCAAATAACACTCAACATACTGGCACTGTCATCATCTACCTGATCTTTTTATGCCATTCCAGCAACACCTCAAAAACACAAAATAAGCCAGGACAGACCGTTTAATTAATGACCGTAACACAATGCCAAGTTATTTTTTTTTTCGTTGCACAGATAACGAAATGCAGACATCAGGATCGTGCCATCTTATGGATGTCTGCTGTCAACTCCTGTGTATCGGGGTATTATTTCCAGATTAGATTTATGTGGCTTTTAGGACTTTCCGCCCTAATTTTGAAATGGCATACACAATTTCAATATTTTCTTTTTCTCAAGTGACCAAAACGTAAAACCATGTATTTGAAGTTAAAAATAAATCAGTAAGATTTAACTGAATAAAAATATTCACTGTCCATACTTCCATACTATTAATATTGTAAATGCGAAAGTAACTCTGTCTGTCTGTCTCGCTTTCACTCCAAAACTACTGAACCGATTTAAATGAAATTTGGTACACTGATAGTCTAGAGCCTAAGGAAGGACATAGGCTATTTATTAATTGGAAAAAGTGTTGTTAAGGGTTGAAAGATTTTTATTTAAGGGCTTCAACGTGAGCGGAGCCGCGGGCGAAAAGCTAGTAATTGATAAAAGGCGT